TGATCACACAGGTGATATGTTGTTCCATGTGGGCTTTATTGCTTCTGAGCTAGATGGCCGCTTGTTTACCTTCAAGCTTTTAAGAAACTATTGTTTCTCAGCATATCCTTTCTGTATCTGTGCAACTTCTGAAGATGTTTTTAAAGTTAATTTTAATAAATCATTTTATTGGGGGCTCTTCCAGCTTTTATAACAATCCATACATCAATTGTATCAAGCACATTTGCACAGATGTTGCCGTCATCATTTTGAAAACCTTTTCTTTCTACTTGAGCCCTTGGTATCAGCTCCTCTTTTTTCCCCTCCCTTCCCCAACCTGAAGATGTTGTTTTGATTTCTCTAACCCTTCTCTGAAGAATTCCACTCTCTGATTTTACACCACATCAAAATAGCCATTTTGACCCCCTCCAGGGACTTAGATCATGTTCCTTATAAACGTTCTTGAGTCTGGTGAACAAAAATAAGTCTGAAAGTGCACCATCCAGGTTGTAGAGTGGATGGGGAAAGGCTTTTCCAGGAAAATTCCCACAGGACATTCCTTGTTCCCTTCAAAGAATGAGCAGGTCCCTTCTCCGGATAGAAAAAAAATTCTCTGTGCAACTTTCCTGGATTTTTTCTCACCAATGCACTTTTTAGTTTTCTTAAAACTTCTTCCTTAGAAGGTCTCCTCCTCATCTTCTGTCCTTGAAGATAATCTATCAGGTGACCCATTTGGATTTCCCAGAAACAGTTGCTATCACTCTGTGAACCGAGCACCCTGAGTAGCTAGCCCAGCAGATCCCCTCAGAGCCATTGTTTTCATTGGGTCTCTTTTCTTTTTTAAAGCTATTGTGATGAGCTGAGACAGCTGTCTTATTGAGAGAACTCTGCAGCCACGCACTGATTTCAGGAACAATTTTATATATATTTTGCTTGGAATAAATCTGTGTATGATGGACTGAAACCCAAGGAGATATATATATATATATAATGTATTTATAATATTTATATAATATATATAAATCTGTGTATGATGGACTGAAACCCA